GTGCTTATTTAATATTTGCTTATCTGTTTATTTTGATTTTTTATCAACTGCTAAGTGACAAAAGATTGGTAGGGCTCAGCGAACATTGGTAGGGCCCAAATAAACATTGGTAAGGCTCGGGCCCTACCAGGCCTATACAAAACGACGCCCCTGACTATTGTGAAACTTGGTAGGTAGGTAGGTAGGTAGGTAGGTACCACATAACTTGAAATTACTTGACGTAATGACATGATGTGGGAAGTGAAAATGATACCTAGGTATTGATGGAAATTTATGGACTTAGGTACGCTACAAGAAGATTGAATTGGTCAACCAATTCAAATTCAATCTACTTGTGGAGTAAGTCAATAGATTTTCATCAATAGTTACCACTTACCATTGAAGTTACTTGCTATCATGTTGATTTTATACATAAGAACCTCATTCATTTTATTTGTATGACATGTTTGAATGCAATTTTCTCAATAAGTGAAGAAAAATGTTGGTAGTGCTCAACAACACATTGGTAGTGCTCAGCTGAACATTGGTAGTGCTCGGGCACTCCCAGGCCTATACAAAACGACGCCCCTGTCGACATGTTGCTGTTTCCGATGCCTAATTTTTGCTGATAAGATAGCAGTTTTCTCAAAATGTGTATTTAAGTGCCAAAGTATGAACACAGCTCTGCAATTCTGCTCAAATATCTGCACAATCCTGACATCCCGAAAAATTGTTGGTGGTGATGGTGATCGAACCCGTCGATGAAAAGTAAGTCAATATTCAAAGGCTTCAAAACATTATTTTTTGTTGTTCTATGAAATAGCAATGCAAAGACCGATGATAGTGTCAGTGTTGAGCTTTCCAATGAAGCATCGCAATTAGTCGTTTGGTAATTAGCACCGAAGAAGTCTTCCATCAAGCATTAGAATTCTCCCATTATCTTGCTGTAGAACAGGGTTACTTTCAGTCTCTTGGGAACACGATTTGCCGGTCTCAGACCGGAAAACACTTCAAAAAGCGGCAATAGACAATGAAATTTCCAACCAGATAGCATCTCGGGTTTTTATATTTCTTGTCTAGAATTTTCATAAATCAACCGTAAAAATGGCCAATTTCGTCAGATTTCGAATTTTTGCCATTGGGTCCAATGTAAAACATGGTTTCTTTCAGTCTCTTGGGAACACGATTTGCGAACCTCAGATTGAAAAACACTTCAAAAGGCGCAGATAGAACACGATTTAATCTACAAGATAGCATCTCGCTTTTTTCCGTGTCTGGCCATGTTTCTTCATAAACCCGTCTCAAATATAGTCCATTTAACACTAAAGTCTATGGACTTAGTAGAATTTTCATATCCGACTAAATTTGGGCTACCATCTCTGTTGACCGGGGGTGGTTTCTAAGCTTAAAAGAAAATTTTTAATTTGCCGCGCGCAGCTTGAAGCATGACACATACCAAGCGGGTATTCCAAGGGCAAGAATTTCCGAAAAGTAGCATATAATTGACTTCCATCGCGTTCGGTTTCGCTGTAACTGTGTTCGCTCAATTGGTCCCCCATTGACCTCCATATATTCGCTCAATCTAGTTTCGCTGATTCTGGTCCTCGCTTAAATTGATAATCGCTGTGATTGAATTCGCCGACTTGACAATCGCTGAAACAGTCAATCACTTAAATTGATAATCGCTGAAAAGGCTTCGCTCAAATGTCTTTCGCTGAAATGACGCTCGCTCAGGTGTCGCAGAACCATATAAAACAGATATATCTAGCGATGTGTATTTACGTTGCTCAAGGCCACCCGGCAGTGCCAGAATAGCTCGGTGGCTGAGCGGACGACCGTAAATCATCAATGGGAGTGTCCCCACTCAGCACAGCCGTAGATGCTCATTAGTGAGCCCGCACTGCCTCTAGGTGCAGGTGCACTGACGGCCGAGAAATCAGTGCATGTGGCTGGAACTCAGTAAACGTAATTGAAGCACTAGTGTTCTTCAGTGTGCACTGACAGCCGAGACACCAGTATGTGATACGTAAGAGCTTGCACGGAAAGCGTTCAAGCAAGAGGTTCGCCTACTACTGTCCCATCTCGCTACTGCTAAGCATTAGCCTGCGCAGTAATAAGTGGCGGGCATGAAGGGCGTAACGGAGGTGGAACGGTGATATATTTCATAGTCATATCCACCTATTCGCCACTAAATCATACGAGTACCTATCAGCACATGCAAGCGAGGGCTCAAAGCATTGTTCCAGTGTTCTTAAACTGTGCTTTTTTGGTGAGTTTATTGACAAAGGATGGCCTCAAGCAAGCTGATATTTTATGAGTCAGCTTATGCTGTCCGTATGGATAGAGTAAATAGATTGATGGATCAGTTGTATGAGTCACCTCTCCCTAAATTCGTCTTTGCTGTACCGTCAAGCTAGCCTAGCTGCCGGTCACACGGGTTCCATACAGCTACTGTGCATAAGTCAACTCCACTACACATCCGGGAAGGCTCAGAATGTGGGATGTCGGCGGCGGTGGCGGCGGGGGCGGTGGCGGGGGCGGGGGCGGTCGGGACGGATTGCTGACAGACAGAGGGGAGGGTCAGTCACGACCACGATACCCGCCAGGAACCGGACGCACTGTCGACGACTCGAAGAAGCCCTCCCGACGCTTGGCATGCACGTCGTTACATTAGTTTTTAATTTTTAATGTAAAGGCATGACAGGAGGATTCAAAGAGAAATACATTCATCTTAGCCGCGCATGCAATGCATGGTAAGAAATGCCAGTCGTGAAAGACGCGGCGACGAAAACGATGACCTAATCATTATCTTGCATTTATAATGGCAGGATAAGGATATAGGAGATTTTAAGATGCAGCATCGGTAAACATAATGTTTCTTATGCCACCATGAGTGTTGTCATGTGGGCAATGAAAGTTACTAGGGTCACATTTTAAATCACTGTTCAGAAATTTACTGACTTATCAGCTGATCGTGAGTTGATAACCTGAGTTGACTCACTCCTAGCTCACTCCTCATTCCTCAACCAAGGATAGCAGCTGCATTCAGCTGGCGACTTTAGTCCAGAACTTTTTTTTTAACAGCCGTTATTTTATTGTAAACGACTAGCAACTTTCCATTCACTGATCAATCATGGCGTCTTTGCCTAGACGCGAGATACGCAGTCTCAAAACAAAGTTGAAACAAAGTCCATCTCGAAGGACACTAAGGGCACAACCCTGGAGTCCCGGCAGCCGTCCATTTACCTCGAGAACTTACTCAGTCGAGAACTTACTCAGGTCAGATGAGTCGCAGTCAGCTGATCGTGAGTCGGACGAGTCATCGGGCCATTTATACACCGCTAACACACTGTCCAATGCTCTGAGGCCTGAGCACCTAACAACTGCTTAGTCATCCGAGGATCTAGGCTGTAAAGGCACCTAGACAGTGTAAGTACGAGCATACTCGCATCACTCCGCCGATTAGCCCTTTACATCTAATGCAGCTATAGGAACGGTCGTGTACTCATATCGAAACGCTCCCCATTGTTCCATGAGTAGGCGCCACATATTAACCCTCGCATGTGTGCGGCGTTTGCCAGCTTCTAATGTGTAGGGGGGGGGGGGGGTCGGTTGGACCCCCCCCCCCTTGCCGTTTGGCCCCTGATCGAGCTAGAGCTTCGCGGAAAAAACGAGCGTGTTGCCCGTGACGAGAGGAAGCCGATGATACCCAATTTTAAGGTCCTAGGTCATTGGTTGACCTTCCAGGTCAGGTCAATGACCCAAAGTCGGGAAAATCGGGACCTGTTAGAAAGTCGTAAAGTGTGGCTGCTAAGGGGTTTTTCGGGGTGCTGATCACGAATATCGTGTTAGTTTTGATCACAGATGATGTCTTGAAGCATTTAGACCAGGTCGGGTCAGGTCAGGTCAGGTCAACCAGTAGGCGTCGTGACGGGTATTCGTAGTACGTGTCAACCGCCTCTCACAGCTTCGTAACATGTTACGAAGTCACCAAAACTACTTCGTAAATGTTCAAATGGTTGCTAAATTCGAATTCAGCTCCAAAAACTAGCCTAGAAACATGTAAAACTCGAAAAAGTGACCCGAGGTCACCCGAGGTCACCAAAGGTCAATGACCTGACCTGACCTTCAGGTGACCTTGACACACACGGGAGTAACATCAAATCACATGTTTGAACGTTTGAAACCACGAAAAGCTTGCAAACACGCGGCTAGTGCGAGCCGACATACGCGAAATCGCGATTCCGGCCAAACATGGTCTCGGAAAAGAGGTCACAGGTTAAAGGTCATTTGGGTCAGGGTCATGAAATTTTTAGGGTAGGTGTAAAATTGATCAATGCGAGGGTACTGAAAGTTTCGTCGCGATCGGCCGCTTTTTACGCGAGTTATTCGCGAAAAACCATGGGGGGGGGTCCATCCGACCCCCCCCCCCTACACATGCGAGGGTTAAATGCTACTGGTTGGGATTTATAATGTCGATTTGTCACTACCCATGCAGCTCTCACCGCCACCGAAATAGCAACGACAATAAATCATGTCCATAATGCGGGGAGGAATGCGCTTTCGCTCCATTAGCCTGTCGTCAGCGACTACAACGAGCTGTTGAACACTGCTGTACCGAGCAGCCCAGCGCCCGGCCGCTGGAAAATCGGCCATGGCAAGATGTTCACCACGGTTTGTTGAGCGATGTTGACGGAAGCTGTTGAAGGCCGGTACAACGCTGTTGTGAAAGCAGGAGTGCGGGAGTGATTATGGTCGTTTCGTCCTGTTGCAAACTTGTTTATTTGTAAACTTGACCAGTGGGATTTACATGGCAACACAACAGACTTGTTGTATTTCGTGCAAGCTACTAGGCAAATCAATTCAAAGCGATACTGAGTCGATGTGAAATAACAAACTGGTTTGACTTAACAGGGGTAGGTTATGCGCATATATGAAATAACGTTATACATTTCCGCATAGTTTCTGTTATAGCGTGAACTAAGCTCGGCACCACAGCACCACACTCCTCCGATCACCGGTCAGAACTGTATTCTCACTCGATCAGCTGACCCGACTCAACCCACACCGCACAGCTGAGCGCCCCCGGCTATAGGTCAAGCGAGCGCAAGCCCGCTCTCAGGGACGACGGATAGGGCGGCCAGTGGCGCACCCAGGCACGCCAGCCAAGAGGCTGTGTGACACTCTACCACATTCCTCCCCCCTAGTTAACAACTATTTTCTCGGTCTCAGGTTATAGCGCGGTACCTGCGGCGCTGACACAGGCTCGCGACACTCAACACTCTCGCCTCGCGACAATTGGACGTCACACTTCAATCGCGAGTTGAGCTCACCCCGTCCCTCCAACCCACGAGCCGGCCGCCCCACTGGGGAGGGAGACGAAGGCCTCTCCCGTTCCGGACATTCCGCTGGCGGTGGCGGAAGCGGCGTGGGAGTCGGCGGTGAAGGCGTCGGCGGTGAAGGCGTCGCCTGCGACGTTGGAGTTGTCGGCAGCGACGTCAGAGGCGTTTGGGGAGGCCGCGGCGCCGCCGTCCAGTCCGTCGGCTGTCGGACGGCCTGGTTCCCGGCGACCGCTCTCGGGACCACCTGGTCCAGATGGCGCTGGAGGACTCGTCCGTCGTCCAGCCGGACCGTGAGCTTGAGTCCCGAGATGTTGATGCAGTGTCCGGGTAGCCAGCGTGTTGTCCTGCCGACGCCGGCCAGTCCCGACACCTGTGAAACGAGGACAGACATTCCTGGTAGTATGGTGCGCCGCTGTGCCTGTCTATCATACCGCTCCTTCATTTTCCACTGCGAGCTGACAACACGATCCTGCAGACTGGGAAGCATACAGTCGAGACGAGTTCTCATGCGCCGCCCGGTCATTAGCTCTGCTGGCGTCACTCCGGTAGTGCTGTGGGGAGATGAACGGTAGGTGAACAGCACCCTTGCCAGCTTGGTGTGCAGCGTTCCATTCCCCTGTTTCCTCAGACCCTGCTTTACCGTCTGCACTGCCCGCTCAGCCAGACCGTTGCTTTTTGGAGACAACGGCGCAGTGCGCAGGTGTGTGATACCATTCTGAGTACAGAATGACTGGAACGCTGGTGCCACGAAACACTGAGCATTGTCTGATACCAAGAACTTGGGAATTCCCCAGTATGCAAACGTTTTCCGCAGCTCCTCCATAGTAACCTCGGTTGTTGCCCTAGTTGTTACATGTACGTCAATCCACTTGGTATATGCATCCACTACAATGAGCAGCATTTTCCCCTCCACTGGGCCACAGTAGTCAATGTGCACCCGCTCATATGGCCGGGACGGGAGGGACCACGGACTCAGTGGCGTGACGGGCGCTTGGTGGCGGTATTGTTGACAGGTCACACACGCCTTAACCATCTGGGTTATGTCAAAATCTAGGTTTGGCCACCACACGTACATTCTGGCAAACCCCTTGGTATGGCTCTCTCCCATATGACCGTCGTGCAACATCTGTAGCACCCTCTCCCGCAACTTGACTGGAATGACGACTCGAGCTCCCCACAAGAGACATCCGTTCTGGATGCTGAGCTCACCTTGCTTCGTGCGATATGCACTTAACTCCGGTGACTCGCCGCTCTTGTCCTCAGGCCAGCCGTCTCGGGTGTACTGCAGCACTCTGCTGAGGGTGGCGTCACGTTCAGTCGCCAGTCGAACCACAGCGGCGGTCACTGGCGAAGCGTCCATCATCTCCACCAGGTGCAGAGTCTCGCCGGGCTCTGGCAAGTCTCCAGCAGCTGTCGGAAGAGGCAAACGGCTGAGACCATCGCAATGTCCCTGTCTCGATCCTGGTACATACTCTAGCTTGTACTGATAGCCCGACAACAGCATTGCCCATCGAGTCACTCGCGGTGAAGCCATCATGGACAGCGGCTTGTTCTCCCCCAGAATGCCCAGGAGGGGCTTATGATCGGTCCGGATAACAAATTTCCGACCTGCCAACCAATGATGAAAGCGGCGGACCCCCAGAATCACCGCCAATCCTTCCCGGTCCGTCTGTGAATATCGTTTCTGCGTGTCTGTGAGCGATTTCGAGTAGAAGGCTACCGGCCTCTCTCCCAGGCGCTTGTCAACCACGCTCAAGACACACCCAACCCCGTAGGGAGAGGCATCACAAGACAGCACGATCGGTGCCGTCTCGTCAAAATGAGCCAGCACCTGCGTAGACTGCAGCAGGCTCTTCCCCGCCAGCCACGCGCTCTTCTGATCGGGTCCCCACTGCCAGGGCTCCCCCTTTTTGAGCAGCCGGTACAGTGGTGCCAGCACGGTGGACAGATTTCTCACAAACTTGGCATAATAATTGATCAACCCTAGCCAGGCCTGAAGCTCCTTCAAGTTTTTCGGAGCGGGTGCGTTTTTGATAGCACTGACCTTGTCGTCGGTCGGACTCACGCCGTCCGCGCTGATGCGGTGTCCCAGGTAGGTGATAGATGAGACTCCAAACTTGCACTTCTTCTTTTGCAGGCGCAGGTTGGCCGCCACCAGCCGCTGTAGCACCAACTCCAGCGAGTTCTGGTGGTCCTGTGGGGTTTTTCCAGCGATCATGACATCATCCAGGAACACTCCCACCCCTGGTATTCCAGCCAAGAGAGTTTCCATATAACGTTGAAAGATGGCCGGAGCACTCGCGTACCCATATCCCAGTCTGGTTGGCACCAACAAGCCCTTGTGTGTGTTTATGGCCAAATATTTGCGACTCTTCTCCTCTAATGGCAGATGGTTGTACGCATTTTTCAAATCTATCTGACTGTACACTGTCGCACCTTGCAGTTTACTGAACATCTCGTCTACTTTTGGCAGAGGATACTTTTCTAACGGCGTGACCTTGTTTACTGTGAGACGATAGTCTGCTGCGATTCTGATCTCACCTGAGGCCTTCTGGCAGGTCACGATGGGCGTCGCCCAGTCGTTCCACTTGACCGGCACCAACAAACCTTCCTTGATCTGCCGCTCCAACTCGGCGTCCACCTTCTCCCGGTAGGCGAGTGGCACCGACCGAGGCTTGTAGAAGATGGGCTTTACGGCTGGATCCACTGGAATGTTGAGCTCTACATCCCTCGCACAGCCCAGATCGTCCTTGAATAGCTCGGAGTATTTTTCGAGCAGTGTTCCCATGGCTGGACTCAGAGTCATCGCAAAAATATTGTGCCAGTCCAACTTGATCTCTCCCAACCAGTTACGGCCTAGTAACATCGGACCGTTACTCTCCACCACAGTCAATGGCAATCGATGACTGACACCCTGATACAGCACGTTTACCCACGCCTCACCTCGGACTGAGAGCTTCTCACCGGAGAACGTGCGAAGCAGACGGCTGCTCGGCTGCAGCAACCTGTCTCCGTCCGGCCAGAGCTCCTTGAAGCGGCGGTATGTGCAGACGGAGACGGCGGCGCCGGTGTCCAGCTCCATCTGCACCGACTGACCGTTGATGCTGACGTCGACCTTGATTGGAGGCTTCACCAGACTCGGCCGCTCCTCTGCACATGTGAACAGATCGCTAACCAGAGCGTCAACCTCACCAGTCTCTACTTCCATCTCCAGTCCACCCTCGGCACCCTCCTGTGACTCAGACTCGGGTAACATCCCCACACTGTTCACCGTGCCAGCTCGGTGGGCGGCACTGGTGTGTCCATAACGAAAACATTGAAAGCATTTCTTTCGGCGAAAATAACAGTCCTCTTCTGCATGCCGGTTACTCAAACACCTCCAGCACTTATCTTTCCCGCCCTCCAAGGCCTTACTTGTGTGATGTGTCATGCCAGCCTGCTGAGCTGGGCCCCTTGGAGCTCGCTGCTGTGTCGCTGGCCCCGCTGCGGTCGGCCGGCTCCGCTGCTGTGACCGAATCTGCTGCACCTCTTGTCGAGGCGGATCGGCCGCCTCCGCTCCCGACAGCTCCTGCAGATTCCGACCGGCTGTCTCCATGGCTACCGCCATCTCTGTCGCTTTCTTCAGAGACAACTCGGGTTCTGACAACAGCCTGGACTGGATCAGGTCAGACTTCACACCACATACGAGTCGGTCACGAATCATCTCTTCTAGAAATGTACCGAACTGACAATCACCAGCGAACTGTCTGAGACGAGCGATATACGTTTGTATCGATTCTCCTGGTAGACGGTAGCATGAAAAAAATCGAAACCGTGCGACCGTTACCGACGGCTTGGGGTGATAATGGGTCGTTAGTTTCTCCACAATCAGCTGATACGTTGAACTCGCCGGTTTAACAGGGGATAGTAGCGATCGTACGATACCGTATGCCTTGGATCCGATGTTGCAGAGCAGAGTCGAACGTTTCTTGGCCTCATCTGTGATGTCATTTGCCACAAAATACTCTTCCATACGTTCGACATATTCTTCCCAGTTCTCTTCCTCCACATTAAATGGCTCTACTCTGCCCACCGGCATTTCAATTTCTTCTGTTCAAATACCTTGTCGCCAATGTTATAGCGTGAACTAAGCTCGGCACCACAGCACCACACTCCTCCGATCACCGGTCAGAACTGTATTCTCACTCGATCAGCTGACCCGACTCAACCCACACCGCACAGCTGAGCGCCCCCGGCTATAGGTCAAGCGAGCGCAAGCCCGCTCTCAGGGACGACGGATAGGGCGGCCAGTGGCGCACCCAGGCACGCCAGCCAAGAGGCTGTGTGACACTCTACCACAGTTTCTATTCGAGCCAAAGAGAATTTGTATTAATGAAAATGCACTGCATCGCTCAACCTGTATATCGAATAAAACTCACTAGTCACTTCAAAAGAAATATGCCAAAGTTAAATCATTAAAGTAGTTGAGTGCCAACCCAGAACACTGCGGAACTGATTATTCCACATCAGCATATGATCGGCCCAAGGCCAGCTGCCGGTTCGGGGTACGCCGGGACGGTCGGGCAGCCGTGCTCGTGTCTGGGGCACCGCACGAGACGGCGGATAATCGGCTCGAAATAAGCTGCACTCCAGTCGGCGTGTTTCGGTGCAGGTTTCTGGAACGTCGACGAGCGTTCTAGGTCGCCAATCGGCCGGTCGATGTCCGTGAAACAATCCGTGGGCACCAGGAAAACGACAAACTGAAATAAAGCTCCGCATGGTTCCGTGATGCTATTTTTACTCCAGTTTTTCGTGGTCCAGTATCTTGCATGGGTGTGACACGTAAATGACCAAGTTTTCATTCATATGCATGCCTATGCGCATTGTTGAGGCGATGCATTTTAAGGGAAGTATCAAGTAACAAGGAAGCTCTGGCGTATACGAACGCCTGTGCACCGTCTCAGAAGGTCACGCAAAGTGAGAGGGCGATGGAAATTTGATACGTTTATTTGTCAGACTTAATCCATAAATGAAATGATCTTCGGTCCCTGGTCTTCCCGGTCACCATCTCCGTGCCACCAGGCCCTTGTCAACCGACCCCCCCCCCCGGTCACCAGCTCCCTCCCGGCTGACCAGCCCCCTCCCCTCCCCCGCTGACCAACACCCGTCAGCAGTGGTCGGGTGGCCTCCGTGGCACGCGGCCGGCGCGCGGGGACGATTAGTTAACAGTTTGGCGATGGTCGGCGTGACCGACGTGACAGTCACCGGACAGAAATACACCCTCCACCTCTGCCGCCCCCGCCCCCGCCGCCGCCGCCGCCGCCGCCCACCGCCAACGCAGACCACCGGCCAACACTGCCCACTCGCCTGCCGAGATGGGCCTGTCCTCGGAGTTGGCGGTGGTCCGGTCTCTGAAATACTGGGGTCAAATGGAGAAAAATTAGCACCGTAGTGCAGTTTTGTCCACCTGGTGTCGTCTAGGACAGATGAATGGATGCTAGCTTCGTTAGAGAAACACCTTATTGATACTGAGAGAGTTTATTTATGGAGCCGCCTGCTTCCGTAAACACCAGTTATGCTAGAATTCATTTGAATTTCAGAAGCTGCTCATACATTTTATGCTACCCGAGGCCAATATATTCCTTTGCTTCATGGCGTGAGAGCAGACATTATTGGGCATTATATCATTTTGCTTAGCTTAGCATTCATATAATGTTTGGGCCCGAGTAGCATTTATGTATTTTATGCCGATTGGCGTTGACTGTGCTCTGCAGACGTCTGAGTTATTGGGGTGGACCCCACCCGTGGCCACACCCATAGGGTTACTAAAGAGGTGACAAGTACTTACTTTAGGGCTGCTAAGAATATGTTAGTCTGCCACAGAAAATTGGCCTCACCCTCGGAATATCAAAATCAAGAATGTAAATCTTACTTAAAATATGATACAGAGGAATGCAACGTAAAACAAAGAAGGTGTATGCAAATATTATCCAATCATTTGTTTCAGTCAATACATAATTCAGCATCTCTTTTCTCATCGTTGCGATTCTGCACTGACCCCCCCCCCCCTCTTGTCTTTTTTCATTCCGACATAGATTTCAGAACTCCAAGCGCCCGTCTGCTTTCCCCCTCCCCTCTGAATGTATGTACAGACCGGCCAATGGCGGGTCCGGGGGCACTGTAACAGTTGGTCTGGCAGGTTGGACAGGTCATTCGTCATTTATCGGGCTCAATTTGGCGTCGGTTCGGCGCGGTGATAGATGAGCTCACGGAGGCCGCCCTCCACCCGCACACTGCCAACGGCCCATCACTGGCGGCGCCCACTAGCGAAAAAGCTGGGGAGGGAAAGGGCGGCTGGAAATTCAAAACATTTAACCCGCGAGTTGCTGGGGGGGGGGGGCGTTAAACGCCCCCACTTTTTTCGCCGGGCCATAGCACAAAAACGGCGCGCCGCAGGCGCAACAAATTTTGGGTACCTGTAGGGAATTTATTTAAGTTTATTGTGACAAAGTTTCAAAAAAATCGGTCGGAAAATTTTTGAGATATCGAGGTTTTAGTGACGTCATGATTTCTGAGTTTTCGATCAAAAAATGGCATATGTTCAAAAAATCATATAAAATCACAAAATAGATATACAGACATGCCGTAAACGCCATTAGACTGCCAATACCATGAGCAATCTAATGGCTATCTTCGATTATTGATTATTGTTCCGCATTTTCCAAAATCTTGAACTAAATCTTGGCAATTTCTCGTGACTACTTCACGACCATGATACATGAATTTCTTAAATTGAACTTTTTGAGCCAAACTCGTACACATATGAGAAAAATAATGTCACCATCGTGTTCTACGCTCCAAATTACCCATAAAACATGTGTCACAGGCTGCGAATATCAGTTTTGATTTTCGGGGATATGTGCCTACTCGGTTGACCTGACCTTGACCCTGAACTATGCTTGACTGACCCCTACATGGAGCTGACACTCTTGTAAGCCTTATATGATGGATTGTGCACCGTTTTGACAGAGTTTATGACGAGAGGCGCCCATTGCGAAGTCCTGAAGTCCATGCTACTGAAAGTCCGATTTCCGGTGTTTGACCTGACCTTGACCTGACCTGTGACCTCAAAATTCAACTTTCAAGTACTCATCTGAAGCGTCTCGTCGTGCTCTTTCGTTTGCCGCCTCGTGCGTTTCGCTGCGCCTATTGGTTCTCGAGTTATCGGCTGGGGGCGTTTAACGCCCCCCCCCCCAGCAAACGGTGGGTGGCGAAATACCCCAGCAACTGCCGGGTTAACATGTTAATTTTACTCAGCTCGGATATACCATAATTTTAATTTTCATGCATGTTACCGGGTTACCCATACTTGCTTGTTTTTTTGTTGCTGTAAAAGCAACGCCTAAATAAACGTTGGTGATGATGTCGATGATATCCAACGTCTGTTCTTCTTTGGCAAGAGACCATAAATATCACCGCCATTGATATCCCTCACGAAGCCCAACATTCCTTAATCCCTATATCAGACCGAAGGGAGTGTCGATTGCGTGGTTCGCCAGAGCGGTCACTTGCCTGTCCCCTATGTACTCTTCTGCTGCCCTGTCCTGTGCTGTCCTACCCTGCCCTCCCCTACCCCGCCCTGCCCCTCTCCTGCCCTGCCTTGCCCTGCCCTGCCCTGCCCTGCCCTGTCCTACCCTGCCCTGTCCTGCCCTGCCCTGTCCTGTGCTGCCCTGCCATGCCCTCCCCTACCCCGCCCTGTCCTGTCCGCAAAGTGAGTCCTTGTCCTGTCCTGTCCTTCCCTACCCAGGATCAGCTGACACCTGTGACGCCGGTGGGTGGAGAAATCCTCAGCGTGTCTGGCCACTTCCCAACAGGGTCAGCTATATGGGTAAACAATAAACATTCCCTAAACGTGAGATCGGAATTCCACGGCCTTGGCCGCCCGCAGAAATGCGCCACGCCTGAAACGGGATACGCCGTAATGGGGACGCTGCGAATTCCTCTGTGGTATTACATTATTTGTGTGGATAAAGCACATAGCGTGCTCCTTTTCTTAGTGAAATGTATAATTTAGATATGCCTACTGTGCTGTTAACTCACTATTACGGAATTTTAACGCACGGTAGGCGACTCTATCTGTGTAGGTAAAGCACCCGCCACCAACTACCAACCTGGCACTACCGTCCATGGTCCACCGTTCACCGTCCACCGTCCACCATCCTTCCTGTCCATTGCCCATCGCCTACCGCTCATCGTCCATCGCCTCGGCCCACCGCTCATCGTCCACCGTCCATCGTCCGCCGTCCACCATCCTTCTGTCCACTGCCCATCGCCCACCTCTCATCGCCCACCGTCCAACGTCCGCCATAACCCCACCTATCCCATCCACTGGCCACCCCCTACCGCCTAGTCCTCTACATATTACACCGTTCTCCATCACTTTAACGTCCACTGCCCATCGTCCACAAAAAGAAAAAAACTTCCTCGGAGACAGAGCCAAGCAGAAGCGTCCAACTCTGACACCAACTGACGTGACTCCAACGAGAACTTCTGGCGAGGATCACATTAGGGAGGGACGACTTGACGGAAAGCAAGCCAGCGGGATCGCCCGGAACGCGGCGCTTCGACAAAAAGTGGCCCGCATCGGCGGCGTCGGCGGTGACGGCCGAATGCCTCTGATGACGGAGCGTCAGACGGCGCCGCCCACTGGTGTTAAGTGGCTCTGCCGGCTGACGGGGGGGGGGGGGGAGCGGAGATCTTTCGGGGTGGATTCTACCGGCCAGGGGTCAGTCCTTGGCGCGATGGGTCAGCCAATTTATCCACTGTGCTATCGTGAACATCTTCGAGTAATGTTCGTCTGGTACGCTGCCAATCGTGAAATGATCTCGCAAAGAATTTAGTGCGAACTATGATGGCTTATTTCACCTTTTCCTCATTGGAATGTAACAGTTATGAAAAAATTGTTTCAGGACATAGCGTCGAAATCGTAAGAAAATGGTGACACGTAATGACGATGAACATACCAAATTATAATTTACGGCAAATGCAAGGAGCGCTCTCGTGAGAGAAGTATTGTAAGTACATACATATTTTTCAAATTTCTTATGACATTTCCTCGATTGCTGTTCAAAATAGATTCTGAACAATGACCTCTTTCGTCAGCTATCTTCCATTGCTGGTAACGTGTCCCCGCCCCGTCTGCTTTCCGTCACCCCCCGTCCTCCTCTGCCTACAAACGGACCGCCCCTCTCCCCTAATTGGCACGCGCCGGTAAGGTCACGACCCCGCCCCCTCGCGCGGCGCCCGCGGCCAAACCGGCCCGGGGCATTGCCCCAGGCGGTGTTC